TCTCCACTCGACTACACGCTGAGAACCGTCCGCAAGTTCTCCCGCACTCTCGTTGTCATCCCTCCACAACTCGTACCACAAGTCTCCCCAGAAGCGCACGACCGCGCATGACATCCAGGGATTCGCGCAACACTCAAGAGCCTTCAGTACCGATACTTCTGGACAACTATCCGTCAAGACATCCAACAGCACATCAAGACGTGTTCCGGATGTCCAGCACTTCAATAACCACTCCATTCATCACCGGATCCACTCCGACCGACACTCCTTTCACCAGAAGTCCAGGCTTCGTCTCACAGGACTTCTGCGACCAGAAGTCACGATGACTTCTCAACCCTTCACAGCACTCACCCGCCGATTCAACCATAAGTCCGACGCCTCGCAACTCGTCCTAATAGCACAACTCAGCCGTCTTACCTATGGGACAAGTCTCACAGTCCCGGGGTGTGTCATGGATATGACTTCTAAATAATTCTGTACTTCTCATAAGTATATATGCACACATACCTGTACCTCTCAATACCATTACTTCCTGATCACTGACCGGTACTTTTTTAGTACTCCACACTTTGTACCCCTATATAACGCATAACACAACTCATTGTACTCCAGTCTCTCCTCACTCTTTACATACGACATGTGAACCTCTCATACACTCAATAAAACAAGCGTTCAATCCACGCATTCAATGCCTCATTCATTCGCCATTTTCCCATCCTTTCATCACTTTCTTTGTTAGACTTCTCTTCGTGATCACTATTGTCTCAAGTCCTCACCCGTAGGACCTCTCAGCAGTAGTCCGCACCGCAACTGTGAGATCACAAGAAGCAGTCCATAACAATATATTAAAAATTTAAAATCTATTGAAATATTTCAAGTAATTCAATTTAATTATATTAAACAATTAATTACATTAAAACTTAAATAAATAAAAATACATTAACAATTAATTCTAGAAATCATACTATTATAACAACACAGTACTATACTTGTATTCAAAAATTATTTTAATTAAAAAAATTAATTAGCTTTAATTTTGTAGCAAATTTACCCAACGACAATGTTAGTCCTTACTTTAATATTATTTAAAAACAATAAAATATATACTGTATATTAAAATAACCATAATAATTTTACAATATTTATGAATTACATACTACTATTTAACTTAATAGTAATTAAGGAAATATTTATTCATAATTATCATAATAGATATCAATATACAGAAATACATTAACAATATTGAAAGTGCCCTGGTGCGTCAAATCGTGTCCTATCGGAACACCACAAATTCAACGCCCTGTTAGACAAACCATACTGTTTGAGCCAATACGAGCGACAGTCCTGACAGTCGAGTGCCGAATAGCCATCAAATTTAGTGGTATGGAAAGCATTATCCGTATAAAAGGGATGAAATACTTTTTCATCTAAATATACAAAATGTTGTTGTGTTAACCAAATTTGTGTGGGACGATTGATGCCGGATAGTGCACTATGCTCAAAACTAGTCGCATTTAATTTATTTGAACCTAGGTCAATTAATAGCGTGTGATTACTGGGTCGGTCGATGGCGAACGCGTTGGCCTTTATATGGTTTATACTATATTGGAATTTAAGAATTGCGATAACATATAAATCGCTGTACACGCGGCTGCCTATTGTTATCTTCTTTGACCATACGGTTAGATATTGCAGTTTATCTTGATTGAAGTTTGGGAATGCGCGGTCGGGCACCAAGTTTAAATAATGAACGTGTTTGGAAGTTATATATGATAAACTTGCTAATTACCACGTACATTGTATCGGGCTCCAGTAAATGATTATATCTGATGGTTAGAGCAGCTGTAGTATTGTACGTGTGCCTAAACGCAGCAAAGTGAATATGTACCAAGTTTGTATTGCTGATCTCGATTTTGTCAAATACAATGTCCAGGAATGTGTTGGCCTTAAGTTCACTCACTTTAGTGTTGTTGAATTTAAAATGGTGAAAATGTTATTGACCAGGTTCTAGAGTTAAGCTGAGTTTGTTGAACATTTTAGCCAGGTCCAAATTATTGTCTCCATAGCATTCTATGTAATTGTATTGACAACCCGTACAGCCGTAGGGTTGAATTACGCTCGGGTCCGGGCATGTACTCGTAATTGACCGCACATTTTTAATGAGCAAAATAATTGAGGTTAAATCTATGGAAATAAATGCGTTAGTACGATTTAATATAAATTACAAATAATATTTATTAAACCCTCAAATAATAACATAATAAATACTTACATAATATTTGCTTCATTATTTAAATGTTTAAATTTTAAAATAATAATATTATAATTAAAATAAAATATCATTTAAAAACTTTTGTATTCAAAGTTTATTTATATACTGTATAATAATATCACTTATCATTTAAATCAGTGATTAATCTAATTCTATTTGTTATTAAATGATAATAATAGTAGTCAGTAATAGGCCTCAGACGCCATTTCCGTCCTCAGGACGGTTTCCCGAGGCCGTCGGGCGCCCGTATTACATGTTAGAGCATATATACAATACATATAATGCTATACAATGTATATACAATACCTACTTTGTTATACTATAATCAATATAATATTATTTTAATATAATTTGTATTTCATTTATTAATTATCTTACTTTCATGTCAAGTATTTATTTAATTGTCACACTTATCTATTTGTGAATCTGTTCGTTTTATTAGGTACATTTCTTACTTTTAATAAATACTTATTAAATAGTTCAAAATAGTTTGATTTTATTTAAATATTATTTATTTAGTTCATATATAAATAGAAAGTTCATACCATTCAGATTCAATCATAATGTACAAAACTAAATAACATTCAATTTATATGCTACAGATTATTTTAACCAACTCAAAATTTTAAATACAGAAATTTTTAAAAAATAAACATGCTGAAAATTCCGGGACATTTAAAAAATTGTTGTTTGAATGTTACAGGGATATTATAATTATATTATTTACATAACAAATCATGTTAATAAATTTTAATTATTTAAAATATAAAATTTAGTCATTATTGTTATAGACTATATTTTACATTGTTATATGAACATTAATGCATATTTATTTTTAGCTTATAATAAATTATAACTTTATATAACTTGTGATTAATAAATAAAATAAAATTAATGTTAATGTAATCATAGAAATATATTTTATCATACAAATACATAAAAAATTAAATTAACTTCTCAGTAGAAGGGAATAAAATAATAGTGGGTATCTTATGATACGGATGATAGTCCGACATTCTGTCACTCCAGACTGCGTGTCCCTGAGTATCTACCGAGAGTAATTTTTCAGACAGTTATGATTCTCTGTATTTGTAATGTGAGAGTCATGTGTAATTGAGTATATTGTGATGAGAAATGGCAAAACAATAACTACGTGCATATTTGTTTAAATAGTTTATATTTGTAAACATTTAATTATATTTATAATCATTTATTTATATTAATTTATACTTTGAACTATTTATAAAAATGCAAATGCAAACTACATTTGTTAAACAAATAAAGTGATGTGATTTCAATACTACATTTCACTTTAATAATCAAACGTTTACTCAATGGTGTATATAATGTGAAAGTGCGATATGTATATAATGTTTATGTAGTTAAATCGAATACATTGTAGTGGCGTTAATCATTAGCAATGAATTGCAATATAAATGTTATTATATACCATAACAATAGTTATCATTATAAATAATATCGATAAACCCCCATTTTCTTATTTAGATAAGAAAATGGAGGTTGACAACATTATTAACGTTATTTATGAGTCAATAAACAATATCATAACGAGCGCTAATTTTATTCACCAATCAATTTTCATTTGACATCATTATACTCAATGCCGTATGAGTTACAATGCAATATACAGTATATATATATTGCATATCAGTTCAGCTGTAAAACAATGTTTTATATTGTATGTAGCACTCAATTTATAGTGCCAATAGCAGCATTAATTGTAGATCATATCCGTTGCCATGAGTTTACTATTTACAATAGATATCATTGGCTATAAAGTAAATGTAATAAACAATAATCAATTCAATGAAAAAATTAAATAACGATTTATTTGTTTTAATAATAATATCATTATGACAAGGAAAAGTGTAAAAAATTAGATTACTTTAAAAATATAATAAAAACATTTAATAGTAGTAAACCACACAAAATTATTAATAACCATTTACGTGTTATAATTGTTATGCATTTCCTTATGACAATATTATAAGTTTTAATTATGATTAATTTTGATAAACTGCAAATGAATGATATCTCTTGATTGTCTTCTTTGCCATCATGACTAACAGCTCTCTATCACATGTCAGTGTAATGTCTGATATTTCACTCTTCGCATTCATCATTGCTTTAGACTCATCCACTTCTTCTTTGTTCAATAGATCAACCATTTGTTGTTGAGTTAAAAATGCATTTTTATTTATCATTATTGCTAATAGATAAAATAAAGACAATTAGTAAAACAAGTTTATTATTTAATTTGGAAATCATTAAATAAGTTATTTATGATTTTAAATAATAAATAGCCCTATATTCTTATCTAGATAAGAAAATGGGGCTTATGTTTATTTTAAATCATTTGTATATTAATGCTTATAAATAATTATTATCTTATAATTACAAAACATTACATAAAAAACATTAAAAATAGCACAAATTATTTAAACACAGGATATTGTTTGTATTCATTATTGTTTTGCAGTATATATTGGTGGCGTACAATAAAAAAATTGAAATATAGTTTACTTCAGTGGCGTAGCATTCAATCAAATCTCACTCTATTCACACACATATTACAGTTCATCACTTACTTCGTACAATGCATATAGCATACAACTACTGTATATAGCACTATAGCATTGGCTTGAATTCAGGCATGTATTCTATTTGTGTTACTCTATAACACTGCCTTTGATGTGTGCATTGACGTATGCTCGCAATGGCGCAAAACTCCCTTACCATTTGCTTGTCTAAAGCAGAGTAGGTGTAGTATTCATAACTGATTACCACACATAACAAGTTTTCCACAAAATGTATGCATTGCAGTGGAGCGAGTGTGTGTGGTGGGTATATTATACTGCATTCACAGTTGCTCTCTCAACAAAAAGCACTAAAATGTTAAAGAATTATAAAGTCACACGTTTGTAATACTGGCCGACTTTTGGAAGTGACCTCTCTTTGAAAATCGAAAGCTCTGACATTATAAATGATAATATAATTTTGATTAATCTATTATTTGCTCAAATGTTTGATTGAGGCATTCCTGAAATATATCCGGCTTGTCTTTTAAAACTGATTTTTACCGAGAGTTTTAAACTCTTCAGCCTCTTAGTAGGCATAGGGTTTCTTGGAAGAGTTAATTATTTCACATAAGTTAAAATGTACATTTTTATTTCTAGTAGCTAGTGTATTTTTCCAATACCGACTTGTGACTCATCATTCTTATTTTAAAAATTTATTTTGTAAAGTATAAAGTGCAGACGTTGCATAGAATTTAAATTTAATAAATAAGTATGAAAAATAATTATAAATTATATTCATAATAAATAAATACTAGAAATATTATATTCTGTGGTAAAATATTTTTGGGATATTCTCTGACAAATTATGATATGTTTTGTCAAACATGGTAGAGTATTAATAAAACAATGTTTATGATAAAAATTACATGGTAGATTGTTGCATTGTTACAACTGCAACAACAACAAGTGCTAAAACTTTATATTAAATTATATCAATATGTATGATCATAACATCTGTATTCTAAAATTATGTTTAATGTGTCTGGTTACTTGGCAATCTCTCTCTTTCTCTCAATAAGGCGTATGGAAATCACTTGGCATTGAGTCGACCAACAAAGCAATCATACGAGACGTTACGGAAGACACTAGACGTGACCAGAAAACACCCAATCGGTGGACACTCGCCGTCAGCGCACACATAGAGACCGGATCTCAGACACCATTAGATGCTATTATAGACATAACACTCGACGGCAAACCACTTGTGGCTAAACACAGCCAACAATTGACTGCCGACCCCTTGGGTTCAGTAAAATCCGATTTTGTGATCACAATCCCAAACAACATACCCATCACTTCGTGGTATCCCAACGATGTGGCCGACAATACACAGCAGTTATACTCACTTCAAGTCCGGCTCTCATTCACCCGACAGTCAGGAAGTGTCGGCTCAGACCAAACGAATCGGTTTCCAGACCATAAGTCTGATGCAGAGCCCGACCCCCGGCGATGGCCTCACTTCGAGGTAAACGGACACCGGGTGTTCGCCAAAGGGTCCAATTGGATACCGGCTAACGTACTCCAGGAGGACCTGACCGAGGCTTACGTCCGGGATTTGTTGGTATCTACGGTGTCGGCCAACATGAATATGTTGCGTGTGTGGGGCGGAGGGGTGTATGAGTCGGACGTGTTTTACGGTTTGGCCGATGAGTTGGGAATAATGATATGGCAGGACATGATGTATGCCATATTTAATTAAAACAATAACAATTTAATTAAAAATATTTCACCTAGGTAACAACGAGATTGAGTCTGTCATCGCGGCATTTGTCTCAGATGAGAGACATAAGCAAAACTACAGGGAGTTGTTTGTGAAACACATGCAAACACTGGTGACCGCCGGCGACACCAGTCGACCATTCGTGACCTCCAGTCCATCAAATGGGTTAAGGGATAAGGTGGAGAACTATACGGCCAAAGATCCGGGTGATTTACGGTACGGTGACGTCCACTCGTATAACTATATGTCCCCGCAGTGGGACTCAAGTGTATACCCGAGGGATAAGTTTATCTCAGAGTACGGCCAACTGTCCTACACTTCGCTGGACACCTGGCGGACAGCGTTGCCCGACTCAGACACGACATACCAGACCAGTTCAAGTGTCCGCCATAAGAATCGATTGGGTTTTTTCAATTGCACTCAAGTTATTGAGAGCATGTCGGGTGAATATTTTATCATGATAAGTTATTTTACTAATTATAAGAAATTATGTTTATTACAGAAAATTACTTTGAAATGTCGGCTCCGGGAGGTGTGGATCGGTTCGCAGACTTAATATATTTGTCGCATTTGATCTTAATGTGCAATTTAGCTTGATGTGCATTTTAGCTTGATGTGCAATTTAGCTTGATGTGCAATTTAGCTTGATGTGCTAAAATCAGTCTTAAAATCATCTTTTAGCTAGGCGACAGTGTTTTACCACTATTGGCTCAAAAGGCGTTCACCACTCATCAGTATTACACCGGTATGTGTTTGTTGTAAATAATAATGGTAGTGATACCTCATATCTAACTCACCATGATCAAATATTTGTATTTATCTAGATCTTGACATGTTGTCGGGCATTGTGCAGAACGAGGGCACTTCATTGGCGCAGATGGTGGCGCCGGGCATACAAAACATGACGATAACTGTCGAAAAATTTGCTGAATTAGTAAACGCCTCGAAAGCGCTGTTTTACGGCCTAAACAAGACAACTATTACCGAGTTTTACGTGAAACACGTCAACAATAGCGACCCCCAGGCTATGAGACAGGCCTACTATGACTACTACGGAGACCTATTGATTAAATGTCCCACATATTTGTTTGCCAAAAAGTATCAAGAGCTCTCTGCGGGCAAAAGTAATGCTCATTTCTACGAGTTGACATACCAGGGCAAGGGTGTGGGTTGGCTGTGCCCGGCCGGCCAGCTATGTCACGGCGCTGAGGGTGAGTTTGTTTTTGGTACACCACTCATAGCACCCGAGGGTTACACACAAAAGGACATTGATTTCAGTGTACGAGTGATGCAATTGTGGACTGATTTTGCTAAATATGGGTATGAGTTGTGTTTTTTGTTGTTATTTATAATGTTTTAGTACTTGTTTATGACTTTTGAATTTAATTTGATCGTGATTATTTTTGTCTTAATTTTGTAGTAAACCCGATAGTGTTTGGCCACAACTTATTGATAAATCAATTGTAAAAGTAATGGATTTAAATCCATCGACAGATAAACACTTATTTATTAACCCATTCAGCGATATATGCGACAAGTTTTGGGGTAATTATTTTGGTTAATGCAACTTTAATTAATTAATCATAAAGTACTGCATAACTTTACTCTCAAAAATTCCACTAGAGCAAACATTACACAAATGAACAATACCTTAATCAATTGTAAACATTATTTCATAAAAATAATATATCCTTATGGGACTAAAAATTTCTTCAGTTTATCAGTAAATAGTATCAGTATATCAGGCGTACGGTATCTGTTAATCACTGGACTCCCGGCCAGCACTCGGCCTCTGCCTTACGTTTAGCGTATATATAAACATATCGCAAAAGTCTTGGCAAACGCTCTCATCGTGTGAACGCTTAATAAAATAATTAATAAATAACTATTAATTAATATTTGAAAAAGCAATAATTAATTATAATCTATAAAATACTTACACAGTGCTGGCCGAGGCGTAGGACCGGCTGATACTGTAGTTGTGTTGTATAATGTACTCTAAATAGATTATATAACTTTCGATCTATACCAATTTTGCAATTATCATGTAGTATATGATTAGCGTAATAATTATTAACAAACATGGTGATAATTTAATGTAAACTATATTTTGTTAATAAATATTTATAATTAAGTAAAACTGTACTTTATATTTAACACAACAAACGCTTAAGTTTATACACTGTACTGAATGTAAGGCAAGTCCCAGTGTTTTCACTCTCAAACAGCATACCTGTGCAGGTGTTATACGAGTGCCCTCTACCCACATCAATAGAAGTGCACAGGTAAATGGGATACAGTCTTATTAATTTGTTGGTGTACCTGGTGGCCTTCTCTGTTGATAACCAGACTTTAATAACCAAACTAACCAGAAAACAGTTTAACAATTACCCAGTTCAAAGGCAAAACAATTTATCTATGTGAGAGATTAATTGCAGAAACATAGGACCGAGTGAAATTTTTAGCAGTAAATTGACTTTAAACTGAATATTTAAACAAATGTTTAAAAATATAATAAGTTATTATTAACACAAACATTGTGTTTATAACGAAAATTAGTTTTTTAAGAAAGTAATCTATGCGTGCATTTTGTCATTCATTTTTAAATACAATTATAGTTTTAAAATACTGGAAGAGTTTATAATACGATTTTAGAAAATTTATTTTTAATTTACTTTTAATTAATAAGTTTTACTACATTATTAATATACAGACTAAGCTGGTCAATTAAATTGTTCAATACACATAATTTTATTATATTATGAAAACTTGACAATAACTACAAATAGAATACATTTACAAGCTCATAACATAAACATTAACATTTGCAAAGTTAATCGGTTGGTTTAGAGGTCACCCTATGTCTGCGGTCTTTATCTCTCCCTCACTCTCTCCCTCTGTTTGCGATGTCTCTGTGTTTTCGTCTGTCGGTTGACATTCTGGAACCCATTTGTTGTTAACTAGTTTTAAGCCACACGTTTGCTCGCTTAAAAAACATTCTGTGTCATTACAGATAGACTTTTTGGTGTTTTGTTAATTATGTGCAATTAATACGTTTAGTTGAAAACTTTAAAAATTAAAAACGATTATTTTAAACGTTTTCTCTTCTTGTGATTACCATCTTTGTTAATTGATCTAATCGATATAACTAATATTTTTATTTATTTAGATACAAAGAAATGTTTTAATTAATGCAAAATCTATTTATTATCTGTGTTAACCTGTGTTATATCCTGTGTATTTCAAAATTAGCAAAATTTGTAAAAATCAGAATTTGAAACATTAATTTACAGCTTAATCACAGATTAATATAATAAAATTCACAATTTTTTGGGAATTTCCCAACAAACATATAATTGGTGTCCCTAACAGACCAACAATTGGTGTCCCCAAAAACCTACAATTATTGTCCCCAACAAACCTACAATTGGTGTCCCCAACAAACCCACAATTATTGTCCCCAACAAACTTACAATTGGTGTCCTCAACAAACTTACAATTGGTGTCCCCAACAAACCTACAATTGGTGTCCTCAACAAATTTTCAATTGGCGTCTTTAACAAACCTACAATTGGTGTCCCCAACAAACATACAATTGGTGTCCCCAACAAACATACAATTGGTGTCCCCAACAAACCTACAATTGGTGTCCCCAACAAACATACAATTGGTGTCCCCAACAAACCTACAATTGGTGTCCCC